GATCTGACTAACCGCCTCGGCAGCCACGAGACCTGAAACGTGGATGAGAGGCGCTCAATTCTCAAAGAGAATCAAGCATACAAGGCATTCTCAACCCCATCACATCTCGCAGCGCGAATGCATCACATTAAGCTTGTTCAACTCCCTCGAGAGGCGAACGCGCTCGAGCAAACGCTGACAAAAACTCAAGTACAAACCTCTGCTCTAGTAGTTTCGCGAATGCAAACAGTGAGCGCATCCTTATCCCTCGTGAGTCAAACGCATGTGCTTCCGTACACAAGGCTTGAAGACAAAGAAGAGGATGACGTTTTCCGCAGGTGCTCTTTTATACCCCCATTCGCTTTATTGTTTACGTCATAGGCTGCCGCCTGCCAATGTCAAGTTCATTGTGGTTTTTGCATTCATGCTTCAGACACCGGTCACGCTGAAGGCGTTCCCCTAGCGCCCTCTAGAGGACGCAGCGTTGAGTTCCCTTTCGAAAGGGAACTAATGATAATGTCCATCAGAGGAAGCATAAACAATGAAAAAAGCAGAGGACCTAATACAGAGCCCTGTGGTACACCATACTTATGTTTGAAACATCTCTTCATATACAGTATATCTGATAGCAGTCTGACAGATAGGACCTAAACCATGTTAAGTCATAAAATGTTAATGTTAATTCTTGTGCACAAATGCCAACATAATTCTCAAGCTATCCAAGAGAATGTTGTGGTCTATGTTGTTGATAGATCCAATAGCACTCAAAGATAGATGTAACTATAGTAAGGAACGTGGTAAGGAAGGTTTCTGTGCTACGAATTGGCTTAAATCCTGACTGAAATACTGTTTCTCTACAACACTGAACATAGTTGAGAGGAGGACACTATTTTTCTAATATTTTAGACATGAATGACAAATTTGGGATTGGTCTATTCTCCTGGGTCATGTGATAAGGGGTTTAAAAACTGTCAGCTTTCTTAGACCACAGTTTTTTTTTTTGTGGACTTGTTCTAAAGAAAGTGAACAGTTAAGAATATTGAGAGGAGATTCTGCGATAACTCCTATTTTGGTAGCTTAGTGTGTGTAGTATCTAACATGTATGTTGTTGGTTTTATTGATTTATGTTGGTTTGGATGTCTGTTGCTTTGTGCAGTCAAATTTGGGCTAACTTGTATTTGTCTTTTTTCGCTTTAGACCTCAAGGTGCTGAAAGTGGAGAGTCAAGAGCTGAATGAGATGGAAGACAAAAATCATCATGATTTCACGACTAGGGAAAAATCCACTAAAAAGACTTCCTCACAAAAAAGAGTTCAGATGACCAAATCAAACAGTTTATTCACTTGTTGTCAGTGTGGAAAGTGTTTTAGTCAAAAACGAAAACTTGTACTCCACATGAGAGTTCACACTGGAGAGAAGCCGTTCACCTGCCAACAGTGTGGAAGGAGTTTCTCTCAAAATGGAAACCTTGGAGTCCACATGAGAATTCACACTGGAGAGAAGCCATTCACCTGCCACGAGTGTGGAAAGAGCTTCACAACAGAATCAAACCTTAGGTATCACATGAGAGGTCACACTAGGTATCACATGAGAGTTCACACTGGAGAAAACTCTTTCACCTGCCAAGAGTGTGGAAAACGTTTCACTCAAAAACAAAGACTTGAAGTCCACATGAGAATTCACACGGGAGAGAAACCTTACATCTGTCAACAGTGTGGAAAGAGTTTTACTCAAAAAGTGCACCTTGAAAAACACATGAGAATTCACACTGAAGAGAAGCGTTTCACCTGTCAACAGTGTGGAAAGTGCGTTACAACAGAACTAAACCTTAGGAATCACATGAGAGTTCACACTAGAGGGAACTCTTTCACCTGCCAACAGTGTGGAAAAAGTTTCACTCAAAAACAAAGCCTTGAAGTCCACATGAGAATTCACACTGGAGAAAAACCTTACATTTGCACCCAATGTGTAAAGTGTTTTGCACATAAAAACACCTTTATTTACCACATGAAGATTCACATTCAAGAGAAATCTTTCACCTGCCGAAAGTGTGGGAAAAGTTTCACTGATAAACACAGCCTTGAAGTCCACGTGACGGTTCACACGGGAGAGAAACCTTATACTTGCACTCTGTGTGGAAAGAGTTTCACGAGTAAAAACACCCTTAATTACCACATGAGAAATCACACTGAAGAGAAGCTGTTCGCATGTGATCAGTGTGGAAAGAGGTTCTGTTATAAAAATAGCGTCCGCACTCACATGAGACTCCACACTGGAGAGAAGCCGTACATCTGCAAACTGTGTGGGAAGAGCTTCTCACAAAAAGGAACTCTTAAGATTCACCTGAGAATTCACACAAGAGAGAAGCCATTCAAATGTGTGGAAAATGACTAACATGTAAAGAAAACCACACGAGGATTCACACGAGAGAGAGAGAGAAGCCATTCATATGTGTGGGCTCGTGCGGTCATGAAAAACCTGGGAAAGTCATGGAAATGTAAAATGGCAATTTCCAGGCCTGAAAAAGTTTTGGGAAAATTAATAAACCCAGAAAGTTTTGGAAAAGTCGTGGAGGTTTATTTCTCTTTGCCTGCCAAGCACGGAATTTTCCGGGTTTCCACGTTCTCGCTGTTATACCCTCTGGGGGCGCTGTTACACATCTCCTGAATGAGTCCACAATCACCTGATCAAAAACACAGGCGAGGAAGACGCAGAAACGAGGAACATTCATATGCAAGCAGAAGCATATGAAAAATAATGGCATCAATAATAAACGGCATATAAATGAAAACTGCCTAATGTTACCGAGTGAAATGTTGATCCAGGATGTGCAAAGGACTGTGAAGCTTTGGGGGTGTTGATGGAAGCGATCGACTGCATCTATGCTTTGATAATAGTACTGAATATGATTCAGATGTAGTCTTTGATAAAGAAGCTTTTTGATCAAAATGCTGCTTTTTTTATGAAACTTACCTACATTCAAGTGTTGATTTAAAAAAAGAATGATTAAAGCTAGAATAAAACAGATTTTTTGTTTAAAAGTAGAGAATCTGTTCTTTGTTTTGATGTATTGCATGTTCAGATATTCATACAACAAAA